TTTATGATTGCCTGAATAGATGACGCTGAGGAACATGACGCACAGCGATAGAAACGAATTAGTTCCGAGAAAGTGACGAAGAAAACCTGACAGATTGAAATTGGAAAAAGCTGATTAAGCAAACAGAAACTGTCAAAACTATGGAGCACCAGGAAAGAAGAGCAAATATTTACCATCGTATAGATCTTCATAAGTAGGAAGGAACATTGAAATTCCTGTTGCGACGATGCCGCTTGAATTGGTCGCAAGTCTAGGAAGCCTAACACAATGCATTAAGACCGACTAGTAATCTGGCTGATGACGCAGCAGACGGTGAACGAGTATAAACGCGAATCAACCCGCTGCAGCAGTACGCTTGATTTTCGCAAAAAGGAAGTACAAATATGGAGTGCGAGCGATCAGGAAACTTTTCAAACTCAAAAATTCGACTTTTCATGGCATTTCAATACCAAAATATCAGACTTTCAACAGGAATTCCCTCATTTTAGAGTTCCAGTCGATAAAATTTCAGACAAGTCCGCTAGTTCATACTCCATTAACTCTACTGATGCCATTTGAATGGTCGAAGAGGAAATGCGGCCCCGATAGGAAACAAATATTGATAAGGGAAAAAATTAAGGCTAATGCTTGAACTCATATTTATCCCGAACAGTGACGTGCTGAAGTGATGAATAGTCAGCACGCATATCTTCCCAGACGAGTCTGGTTCCAATTTACTGATCCCCCGAGGGTTGGACAACTTTATTGGCTTGAGCTAGTATCGACCTGGAATTCGGTCCAAGACCACCGGCAGAGGCGTAGCCCCTTTTGTGCTCAAAAACAGAAAAAAGGAAATTTGAAAGCGCCCAGAATCAGAACTAGGTCATACAATCTTCAGAAGAGCTGTAAGATGGATAGAATCAATACTGGAACTTAGAATTCATTGAAGCGGTGCCTCGGCATCGCCAGAAATCTGCCAATGCCAATTAAGCTCCCTTTCGAAAGCTCAACCCGTGAGAAGGATTGAGTGTACATCGATGGGGAGCCGCACACATATGTTGCTGCATAAAGCTGACATATGTAATTAGTGTCTCTAAGCCAGCTGTGGGCAGCAAGAAGAGGAAAGAACTTTCCACTGGGTTGTGGACAAGATAGAAGTTTGGCACAGGAACCACTAAGCAATCCAAGTTGTCATTTGAGATTCCGTGGAGCTCCGAAAAGATTTTTGGCATTGAAACAATTTCATCCGAGATATAGTAAAACTCCAGAAAAAGTTGAAGTGGCAAGTGTTGCAGTACCAGACACTTGTGGTCTGCGGTTCGAACTTCGATTCGTAAACGTCTAAGCCTAGGAAGTCTTCCATCCTACCGCGATCGGTTAATTCATACAGGATTCGTCTGGGAGGAGAAAACACTTATGAAACACAGCGTCAAGCCACCGCCAGGCATTGTATACGCCACATACGCGTTCCATACAAAACTACCACTCTGAGCGATAGACGATTGCGGGGCGCATTCCATAACGGGGCTGATTAATGACAAATACATCAGCCATCCATCTACAATAAAACTCCACTTCCACGGCTTGAAACTTGAGAAATAGATACAGTAATACCTAGGTGGCTGAGCTACTAAAAGAAGTTTGTAAAAATATGAAGAGCGTTTGAGTAGATCCTCAATATGAGGTATGCCACGATGACTCCTAACGAAACACTAATAGGCGAAAAGTATAAATTATCATCAGATGGAAACGGTCCCAAGCTTCATCCAACCCACAATGAATCATGCAGTCGTTAGTCACCAACTATGTGGGAGGTGATAGAAAGGTGGTTGATGCTCCAAATTTTATTGCGAAATTCTCGTAGGAGGGGCTTGAAACAACAACTCTTTGGCCAAGTTCAAAACATCTGAGAATATCGAAGATTTCGCCGTAACCCTCAAGATGTAAAGGCTTTTCAAAACCCAAGAATGAAATGCAGAATGAACGTAATCTCTTAGATAGAAAATGCACTTTGAGAAGGTGTATGGTTCGCGCAACTTTCACGACATTACACGAATTCAGGCCGATCAAGCGATATGAGATGAGATCTGAGATAACTCAGCATACGAAGTTGGATTGCACTACAGTCATTCACTAAGTGTGCTTAGCGAGTGCAAAAATCAGACCAACTTGGCGCTATGAACGTAGGAGCAAAGTACTGACTGTGGCAGTCCACTTTACAATCTTTAGACGTCAGAGGGTCAGAGCGCCTCCTGCTCAGATTTGTTGCCGCCAATACCAGTTCAGTTATAGTAAAAGCGTAAATCGGAACAACTATAAAATAAATCACAAAGGCTATTGCCCACTCAAAGCATGAAAGTGCGGGTGAAAAATGATAAAAGATACAGGAAAAAGTCTTCGGGCGCCAATCAATCCCGTTTGAGGGATGCGCCTATGCATTCGACTTCTATTTGGAACCTTAGTGGCGTATTGAATGCGTATGTGGCCTATACAATGACATGAGGTGGCCAGCCGATGTACAAGACAGCGCTTTTATCCTCCCAAGGCGAGTCTGGTACCAATTAACCGACCGCGGGGCGAGGGAGGGCTTTGCTGGCCTGAACGGATATCGAAAGGAAAAATGATGAGGTGGAGTAACCACTGATTGGATCATGTCCAACAGGCAGTACGGTACAATAGCTTGGCGGATGTTAATTATAGTCGACGCATTACATTAGATATGTTTACTACATATACCATTCAAATATGGTAAAAGTTGACGCCGCGGCGAGAAAAGGGAATGGAAGGTGTTGATTATGAGGCATACTGACAGATAGGCAGGGAATCTTTCCAACAAAAACCAAGAATGTGATTCCGTCTTCTCCGCGACCGCATTACCGTCACATGTACAGCTACCATAGAAAAACCCATCAATTGATTGGTTTGTCTGGAACACCCATGGCGCAATCATGCGTGAACTATGGCTACGATAAAAGCACCTTCTTTCAAGTACGGGCGATCGCAACCCAAGACTGTAAACCGACCTGGGGTGGCATTGAAGGAGAAGAAAGCCTCTCAAGTGAAAACTGTGGAGTTGTTTCGAAAAAAAAGACCAAGTTGCTTTTCTATCTCACTTTTCCTGAGTGTCGTTACAATCACTGCACTCTTTCGGTAGATAGGAGCCTCCGACAAGCAGTATGACAGGCATAATTACCCCTCTAGAGGTCAAGTAAGTCAAGTCGTAGCAGTCCCACACAGCTTCAGCAGACCACTATGTGAGAAAAAAGCTCTTCGTAAATGAGACTACAAAGCAATAATCATAGTCACTGTTGTTCCTAATAATAGACGCTTTGCTTGAAATAGTTGGGAAGGACGTGATGAGCGTAATATGACTATCTCTAAAAGACTGGACAGTAGTAAAACTAAAATAATGTTGGTCTGACGAAACGAATTCCACCGCAAAGATAAGGTGTTTTGACGCCGAAAGCGATAAAGGCGTTTATCATCACAAACACAACAAAGTAGCAAAACCCCAAAACAAAATCTTCACATTACATCGACATAGTTAACCCATTTCTAGAACCTTTTAATAGCTAAACACGAGCGTAACGAAGAAATATTTCCTCATCGATACCCTACTTCAGTCAACCTTTGGAGAGCTAGGGAGGAGAGCTTCGAAGACCTTTTTATTAAAAGCCCCTCAAAAGTTGTTGGAATTGTGATTGCTCCGACAAACTCTGCACAAATGTTGCACGGAAGATGCGATGTAACATTTGTAATGCGGACTTTCTTGGATCACCGTTTCTCTAAAGTGAAAGTCGCATAGAAAATTTCTTAGCCAAGTATTTCAGACATAAGCCAATCGGCTGTTTGATAGGCAAATATGGAAATTGGTCTGAGTTTTGAAAATGATATATATCGGGGTCAAGCAGTACTACCGAATCCTACAAGGAAAATTTGATCCTAAAGAGAAAACGATCACACCCGCCCACGCACTGAGAGTATCCGCCCACGCATCGGGAAGATATTGAGCGATTCAGAGCGTGAATTTAAAACGAGAAAAAGGGATCAATCTTGCACGAGCACAGCTGTTTTTAACTCAGACCGGACAGGTGTTAGCTGCAGATTAACGATTCCGGATCGAGGCAGATGATTTCGGATAAAAGCTAATCTTTGAAGAGTGAAGCTATTAAGGAAATAGAAACACGGCTGACGTCCTCTGTTCATTAACTATAGGCCGCATAATCGTTGGCTGAAGGTTTTCGCTGCGGCGATGACCAAGACAACATGACACACGCTACGTCGGTCTTCTCAGCAGTCTGAAGCCTCTCCAGCTCATATCCACCCTCGCCAATGGCGCCGCTTCGCAGGCCGCGTCGCGCTGATTCACCACGAAGCGCGAAATTTTAGCCGTAGAGCGAGCGCTACCAGGCGGCCGTAGGCACTCAGTTATTCAGCCTGCGCGACGACCTCTTCGATCGACATGTTGATTCCTCGGCTAAATGGGTTTTTCAAGAGCTGCTCTGAAGCGTTACCAATGTTCCTCGCATAACATTAGGTAATACTGCTCGCGCATGAGCGTAGGCAGTTGTTTTTTTCGCAACTGCAATTGCGTTCTCTCGGAAAAAGTCACTCCAAAGTTCCGCTCCTTAACATTTATATTGAGCTAGTTTTGTGAGTGGACGCTCTTGACTTTTCTTCGGATTGGTTTCGATTTTGGTTTGCAGAAATAGGTGGAGCTCACACTTGTCACCACCACTTATCTCCATAGCATCGAAATTTTCGGGCTCGTTTATGGGATATGAATTGACGGCATAAATGCCGCAATTCTTTTCCAGCAGGCTTGTGGGCGTCAGTTCTTGGTTGTTTGTTGATGTCTTTTATTAACCTCAGTTCTCGGGTGTACTTGTTGTATTTCGTAGACTTGATCTCAATTTTTGCTGCTCCAGTCTTTTCGAAGCCCATTATTCAATCGCGAGCAAATTAATTTTATTTGTCTTCACTAATCTTGCACGAATTTAGGACTTCTCTGTTCGAAGGCTATGGGTAACTCAACTTGCTGTCTTCGAAACAGTGGGTCAGTACCTAGAGATGAAAAAACATACGCGTACGAAGGACAGTACACGAGGAACAATCAAGTTGAGGTGAACTTTCATAGTCATTTTCGAAAACAAGCTTGTCGTCCAAGTATTTTTTNAATATTCGAGTTCCGGGTAGTGAATTCGGGCTAGTCTCTTTAGAGAGCCATCAGAAGTGCATATCAAAAACAATAGATTAAGTTGAATAAATTTCGTTTATCGGTTGACTATTTTCTATTGGAGGCAATGCTTTTGGCATTTCAGTTTCAATACGTCAATCAGTCTTTTCCACGAGACGAAACATCTACAAACTTTCTTCCACACATCAGTGAACGCGAAGTGCCTGAAGGTGGGTTGTACTGTTTAGAGCAATTCTTGTGCGTGTTACTTTATTCGATTATGAATAATGGTTGTTCATCTAACCTGTTCCTGACTTCCTCCATCAAGCATTTATCATGGTTACGCTCATTTATCAAGATCAACAAAACCCACCCAAGAGTTTCTCTTACTCCAGAACTCCGAACTGGTCTGAGTATTCAGTAATCACAATTTTAATCTGCATAGTTACAGAAGTTCTCAGGCGGTATACAGATCATATTAGTGATTCCAATTGCAAGTATCTTCATTTCAAGACTCTTATCATATTTTCTTTCAATGTTTGTACAATTTCCTTAAGATCGGAAGATTTTCACAACTTACAGAATTACTTTTATGACATATCATAGTAACTTCCCGGGTAACGAGTGAGAGAAGTAGCAAGTGATATAAAACTGACCATAGCCTAATTTTATGACAATTTTAACTTTTTAAGAATCGGTTACGTTGCCATTTGTCTCGATTCCATGAAGAGTCATCGTCCGCTCGCTGACATGCTACTATCATTCCCAATCACTGCAATATTACCCTACACTATGACCGTCTTCAATGATGCCAAACATTGCCTTTGTCTTGAGCCTCCCAGGAGTTTCTCCATTTTTTCCTTTGTCTGAACTGATATCCTATTCTCTGTAGTAAGGCGATGTATTCTTTGGAATCATTTCTGTCTGAATAACATCTGAATGGCAAATAAGGATTCGCACTGCGTCAGCGAGAATTCATTAAATTTTTCAGTTGGAGAGGAAGATCCATCTACTCATCCCACAGCTCGACCCACGTTTATGGAGAGGAGCAAGAGTGAAATGAAACGTGAGCACATTTTTTGAAGCAAAGTGTTGATTAGCAAAACAACGAATAGTCAAACCAGCAGAATCAGGACGGAGTAGTTGGAATCAGTTGAAGTTTGTCGGTCCTGCATAATTCGCGCTGGTCCATCGACTATTCATCATTCCCTAAAAAGGATAGAAGTGGGCGGGACGTTCATGGCATTTTAAATTTTCTCGGAGAATCTAAGGTCAAATTCTATTGGCTTTAAGTGCTTAAGCGATTTTGATTTGTCAAGGTTTGGTTCGAAGTGAATCTTTTTGCGTCGCAACTGCTAATGTATCGTTGGGCGTGCAAAATGGTCTTCCCTAGCAAATTCTTCGTGGGGTGCCCCATTATCCCACCCAATCAATATTAGTTTTCGAGCCCAAGAATATTGTTCAAGGATGTTATTCATCTGAATTTAGGTTGTTATCCGTCTTAGTTATGATAATTGTTAATGCTAAGATATTCCTTTGACATCATTTGTATTGCAAGCACTGCTAACAATCTAACATTTTTGCCATCTTCTCTTTAGTGAAAGACAACCGTCGGTCGTGCTATATGCTGGACGCGGTGGCCGCTGGTGGTGGTTTTCCGGGCGTTTTACCACGAAGCCTTCGAAAGTCCAGCAGTTGTAGCACGATTTACATGGGTATGTGCCTGAAACCTTCGGTGATTGTTTCTTGCCTGCATATCTTTTTTAGATGACTCTACTATTAGTCAACCGAATTTGAAGAATACCATCAAGTGCATATCCCTAGCCATATATTATCACATTGCGAATAGGAAGAATCGCGCGCATGAACGACTAATGGAGATATTTGAGGAGCGGCTTCATCCGATTACGGTAAAACTTGATCCTTTATTTTGACTTGATGTTTTGTTAACTGCTGTTATTTCACCGCAGTACGCAATTCGAAAGTCCTTTATATCTTAATTTTTCCCAACAAGTGGCACGGAAGCCTTTCGTAGTTACTCGTAGTGACTGTGATCTTGTAAGTGATCAGGATTCATTCAGTGGACGGTTGTGAGAATCGTTATTGGTGGGATACGGAAAAGAATCAGTGAAGTTGTACGAGTACCTTTTGATTCTTGGATAACCTCCTATGACAAACTGTATCAATATCAAGTCGACGTGGTCCACACTTTGTCAAAAAAGCGCGTTTTGACTTTTATTGTCCGCCGCTCTTTGTTTTCTTCGCATGCGCTCTAACGTATGGAAGAGGTTTCGAAGTGTAAGAGGTCAATGACGAAACTTCGGAAGCGTATTTTTTCTCCTTAAATGTAATTTAATCGTTGTCCATCTGATTTTGCTTCTGGATTCTATGGGAATCGAAATTGTTCAATTAAAAACAGATCACTTGTATGGCGACGCGGTAATGACATGAACTTTGGAAGCACTTACCTATCAGCTCTGATAGTAGGGATAAGAGAAATAACAAAGACATTCACTCCCTTACTAATCATATAGAGCCATATCTTATTATCTGGTTTCGAAGAGGCATTTTTAAATGACAGAATCTTAAAGAAGTAAAAATATATCAAGTTTGTAATTTCTACAGAAAACGGACTGTTTGAGGGACGTACGTAAACAAGCCACTTTAAGTCCCAACTAACCCTTAAATTGCGATTAATGCATTAATCGAGCTGTTACGAGCTTGCCGTCATTGTTCAGCGATAGAGGGGAATCAAGAAAACAAATCTCCTCTAGGCAAAAGTACAGTCGTCCTTTCGACCAGGTCAAGGTCTTTCTTGAAATGGATCAGATTCCTTTTCCAAGTTTCGTTTTATCTTTTTTTGTGGGGTGTAAACGATGTATTAGGCGGCTAATATTTCCACTGTAAACATTTTACTTCTGGAGGTTAACCGCGATCTAGGACTCTTGGGGTTGTACGTTGCTCGAGAGACACCTTACACAGCTATCTCGGAGTCGGATCTGCACGTTTTTTTGTGAAAGATCCCGTCGATAAAAATAGAGCAGTATCTGGCGATCGTCAATACGTACAGCAGGGGGAAGAAAAAGCATGGCACTTTGAAAAGTATAATATTTGCCAAGATCTTGACGCGCTGAACGAGAGGGACGTTCCGGCGGAGTAAAAGGTGCTTGCGGGAATTTCATGGAAAAGCAGGTAAAGTGGCTGAATTAAACATCTGAGTCGAGCTTTTATCTGAATAACCATCTAACTTGTAATAATCGTTGAACCGAGATAAGTAATAGAAGTTGGCCACAGCACACATTTTCTCTAATGTCCGTGCCACATGGCCACCTTTATACCGTATAATGTACTTTCTTTATAGCGTGATGCATTACCACCGGAGTTGATGACAAAAGATCCCGATCATCGTCAGATTTACCGATTTGTTCGCACCCTGTTTCACTCAGCACAGTTGACTGCTGAATGCGCAATTATAACGCTGGTGAGTTTCCGTTGGTAGTTGAGTGCTCTTGAATTTTTCTTTAGTGTAGGCTAGTGTTCGTCAAAGTTACCTATACTAATTTTCTTTTACGCCACGCTTTGTGCCCTCCATTTTGGGAAACGCTTGTGAGGTAGGATCAAGTGATTCACGCTTACCCTTCCATATTGGTGACCTTTAGCGAGCCTCGAGTCTTCAAGTACTTGAGACCAAGTTAAAAGTAGTGCGAGTGAATAAAACTCTAACTTCATTTAATCTAATTCATTTTAATCATTCGAGGAAGTAGTCTGGAACCTACTTTGAAAATATTTTCATGTTAATTGGCTGGTAGCATGCGAGTTCCTCTTACTGTTAATTCTTTTCACCCGCCCTGAGTTCGTAGAGTAGGGTCGCGAATTATCACCGAAGCTTTCACGTCGAGTTGCTCAGTGGAATAGTTGAATTGTTTTTAAGGCTGTAGTGAAGAAATGGGCTTAGGTAAGTATTGTGGTTGAAAAGGTAGGTTTTTCATCCACTCGCACATTCAGAGCCAACGAGGTTATAAGGGTGTCATAGCTGGGCCACTGACATAACGTTGCAACGCCTCAACCTAAATATGATTTTCTCGATTTGTGTGGAAATTTTCTCAATTTATATGGAAAATTCAGGGAGGGCCTACGATTACGTGATGTTGATTCCAGGTCTACATAGAACGGCTTCTAAATTATGCAGAGATGGATTTATGCCCATCGAACTGGCGAAGAGTGGTGTTAGGGGCGATAATGTTAGCNTCGAATGAGAGGCGGACACGTCATCGACACACCCGCCCATTGAATCATCGCGAACAGTGCCTTTAATATTTGGCTGACAGTGCTTTTCATTTTTTATTGCTTTTTTTACTTTTCTTTGTTGCTACATCTCTACAGAGATGCGAAGCATGTGTACCTCGTATTTAGGTGTGGGATGACCAGGCTGTGTGGAACGTGGATTATTGCCAAATCCTCCGAGATACTAATGTGGACGACATGTGAGTTTCATCGAGGCTTGGTAGCGCGAGGATTCACGTAACTGATTTGTTCGTTACAGGAATGAATTGGAGCGACGCTTCCTTGAGTGCCTTGACTTCAACATAGAAGTGCCATCATCCGTATATGCCAAGTATTACTTTGATCTACGAACACTTGCGTTGGCAAACGACCTACAGTTGCCACTTCAGCCGTTGTACAGGGAACGCGCTAAGCGTTTAGAGGTGATTTATCGGATTGTTTTTCTTGAAATCAACTGACTCAGCAAATTGTGTAGACTTGCGATATTGCATTGATTTGATAATCGTTTGGAGTTGCGTGGAAATTCTGAAATGATAATTTTCTTGGCTTTTCAGGCAGCAAGTCGGGTGTGTGAGGACAAGTTGCACAACTTTAAACGGAGTTTTTCCGCGGAACGTATACACACTGAAGGAAAAGCACCAATGGTGCTTTCCTGAGTGAAAGGTTCCTTATTCTATCAGAAGACTTTGCTCCTTAAGCATCACGTGATGGTTATTTTTACAAAATTTGGAAGTCCTTGAAACTTTGTTCTCCTGTTTATTTATTCTGGCTACTTATTTTCAATCATTTTCTTGTGGTCTATTTGTTGACAGTTCTTGGAAACAATCATAAGGGGTTGTAGTGATCGTGACAATTCGTTGGTTAACAGGCCAACTGGACTCTCCCCTGGTTTTATGCCGATGTCTGCATTACGGCGGCCTCATCGCGGCGCGTAAGTTCGTCGTTTCGTGGCGATCGATTTAACGAAGATGGTCTCTAACTGTCAAGATTAAATGCTTTTTTAAGACGCTCAAAACTATCTGTCCGGTGGCCCCTTCGCCTCATCAGTATTGTTACCATGGTGGTCCAGATGGTATTTGACAGAGGTTTCTCTCTGTAGAGCTTAGTCAGGGCACATATCGTATTAAATTATTTAAGAAACCATTCTATAGGAATAAGGCCGTTTCAAGCCAAACAAGCAGTTGGTTTACTATACTGATGAGCGAAAGGGCAAAGCAGAAAAGTAAACTGGACCGGCCTAAAAGGACTTCTGCAGTTTGCGATTAAAATGATTCCAGCGTTCCTAGGGAAAGAACCTTTGGGTTTTGGGGAGGCCATATGTGTCTTTGTAGGGTAGAGCCCAAAAAAGAACTCTCCAAACGCTCACTACGGACAGAGACTTCCAATGATGGCGCGTCAAAGGTCTTCAGAGAGGCTGTGCCGAGGGGGGGGGGGGTACGTTTGGTCGAAACAGCAGATTTTCCCCGATATGAGCACCACTCGTTCAATTTCTTCCTTTCGTCGCAATAATCCCGAATAACTCTGGGGAAGTTTTAGTTTGAGGTAGACGACAATGTCATTGTTTCTAGGTGAATTTTCTTTTTTTCGTCTCTGACTCTCGTTCTCACCAAACCCCGTTTCTCAACACGGTAACGGTACATAATATTATCGCGGTGCGCCTTTGCCCTTGAAGTGGCAGTCTTGTAGTGGGGCACGAGTTTCGTAATATCGATCGCCGCGTCGCTTCGACTTGTGCATCGCGTTGACGCAGGTGGCGCCGTTTACTATGCGCCTATGCAAAATCCAGCTAGCAAAGGGAATGTGTTGACTTATCGACTCATAAAGCACGACAGTATACACCCACTCTGACTGCAGTATTTCGGTGTCGTAGACTGCATATTGGATGGTTCCTAATGTCTTTAATAGTTTAATTGTTTCAGCTGGTTTTGAGTTCGCTCACATTTTTATTATATTGTTATATTATATCTTCACGATGTTGTATCCTACTTATGCCGAAGATTTCTTTTCACCCTAATACTTCATATGTTATTATTATTGGCCCAATTGCTTTAGGGCGTTGTTCAATGGTTTTTTGGCGTGTTTTAAGTCTAATAACGTCGTAGGGTCATTGACTAACGTTTTTTCCTCCATTGTTGTCTTCTTTATAGGTGATTTTATGTATAATTGCTAAGCACGGTTTATCTCATGCATGATGACAAATCATAGATAGTTAAATAACTTTCAAGTGCTGTACCTCTAAGGACCAGCAATCTGTTCCTAATTCTGTTGCTACTGTAGATTTACCGTTGTATGACTGTAGTGCTAAAAATGTAAACGACCAAATACCCGTTCGTTCAATAGTGATGGTCCAACAAATGCACGATGGAACGGGTAACACATTATCTATAGATTTACCATTTTCCAAAGCTATTTATTTATTTTCGCACCTATTCATGTCTACTTTTGCCTAGGTGATCACGCCATAACACACACATTTATGTGTGAATTTGAAATAAATATTTATTAAAATATCAAGGATTACGGCTGCTATATACAAAGGTCGCATGCAATGTGTATTTCTCTTTGTCCTGACAGTATTTTGTTTTATTACTGGCTTTAATTACAATCATATTGGTGTTTCAATTGTAATTATTTTCCACTGGTGTTCTCCCTATTTTGAGTCTTAATCGAGTCATCTCCATAATTGAGAAGGCTTTGTATCTCTTTTACTCATCTGCAACAAGTGGCGTGTAGCTTACACTCAGCTGTCTCAGTAATCAGAATCTTCGTGATTGTACAAGCCCTTAGGGATGTGGCGGAGTTGAATTGGTCAAAATCGACCACTTCGATGGTGATTGGATAGGCACACAACAAGGATAGGGAGGTACCTTTCCTATGCTATCGAGTGATATTTTCACTACTGGTCCTGACCGATGCAACTATGCGTCTCCCAGTCGTAGACCTATGACCAACTGATTGTTCTGATGCAGGCAGTCGGCTAAACATCAAGCTCGAGGCCACAGAGCGCTCGTCTTAATTGCGTCCTTCACAGAGCTCTTCAAAATTCGCGTTCTAAATCCAATGCAGCTGGATCGGGTCGGGGATGTTTCGATTTCACGATAAGGTCACTTCGGAACCAATTGTTCTAGTCCAAAATGGGCTGGTTTTACGACAAAGGAAGCTCAAAACGTAGTGGGGAAAGTCATTTCTCGCCATGAAAACAAGCGCTTTTTTCGTAGCATAGTGGATTCAACAGCCAAAGACGATGAAACAGATTTTTTGAAGTGTGAAGCATCCGACGTGTTCCGAACATCGACTCCTTGATTACTAGTAGAGATGACTCTATATACTCTTTTGTTGCCAGCAGGTTGTAAATCTTCCGAAATGCGGGGCTGAGCTCTGCCAGAGGCAATGTTTATGGTCTACCACACTGGGTAGTCACCAGTCGACCTGTTACGAGTAGTTACGTATTCTTTGGTTATTTTTATCACGTGATTCGGGAATTCCTCCAATTGATTCGGGAAATCAGCGCGGAAAATAATTAGTCGATACTGATTCATTCTTAACCGCAGGTTCGGAAAACCTCCTACTTCACGATCTTCTATCCATAAGTTGACAGTNGTTGGGCGGATTCCAGAGTTCTTCTACTCTGAAAAATGTCTAAGAGGAGGCATGATTGTTGCCACCCGCCTTCAAATGCATCGGTGATGTTGTAGAGAAAATGAAGGGCCCGGAGTGGTAGTAAGGGCAAACTTTGTCTCTCATCAAACTACCAAGTCTTACTAGCTCTCGAAAACTGCGGAGTATGGCATGTATACCGGCTTCAATGAAGAGATTTATCCAATTTTGTTCCGTTTCTCGAATGCTCGATTCAAGGGGGTCTAGTTCTTATGGCGAGATTATACTTTTTGTTTCTCTGCATTTAAGCCCTGGGGCACTGACCAACTCGATGATTTCGCATACCCCTAGCTTCAAATCGCATTATCTTTTACTTAATTGTTGACACTTGCTCGCTTAGACTCTCCAACCTTCTTTCTGGGGGTTAGTTTAGAAGGATAGGAAGGTACTCAGTTGATGGAACTAGGAAGATAAGATGTTTTCAACTTATAAAATTACGAAACAGTTGTGCTTTTATCTTTCGACGCTGCTCAGTTTATACTGATGTCGTATTCATTTTAAATTTCGCGCATTATATCGTGAAATCAAAAATTGTTCAATCCCGGAGAAGCTTCACGAAGAGTTCTAGGAATTAAGGATATTAAGGATGTGTACCTGAACTCTGATTATGAATAAGTTCATGACTTCAGAAGCTATTGAACTGTATCATGATTCCAGTTCCTTCATTATGTGCGAGTATCGCTCTAAAACTTATTCTCGATAAAACCTTTCTGTTGACTGTAGAGCGGAAACCAAGAGATAGAATACACTAAGGTGGGTTACTGGTAGGTGCCTCTACAAACCTGCCTATGAGTTTCAGCCTACCTTTGACTTTGGTTTTGAGGCTTTTTTGACGGGCAAACTTCTTCTATGAAAAATTTCCCTGGCTATTTTCCGTACTGAAAAGCAGAGAAGATTCTTCTGTTTCCTCCAGTGAATTTTTGAGAAATTGCTGCTGAGTCGTAAATTTAGCCGCGGGTTCTCACACTTTTATTGTTCTGCTGCTTCACTGCACCTCTGTTTCATAGAATTGCAGTGAAGCAGCAGAACGATAAAAGTCTTGGATCTTGTCAAAGAATTTTCCTGTTCTCCTTTTTCCTTGTGTAAAATCGTTCTCATCGACCCTTCGACACTTCTTTTTTACTGCGCATTTTGCACTGGGGTGGGCTCGAAATTTCCTTACCCCTTCTGAAATTTCAGAAATAGATTCGACCGTAGCAATAGGTAGGGGCCTCATAAGAGTTTAGACACAAGGAACTCTTCGTTTATCTAGTATTATAGTACCTATGATGTATTTATATCCTCCGCGTATATGATCAACTCTACCTCTTATGAACAAACTCTGTCGCGATGGCGGCAACGTAAGGTTGATCCTGAAACTGCTGCTTGATCCTGCGCTGCGCTGTCCTTTTCCGTCTTGGTAATAAATCGTCGCCTCAGTGCTGTCAGCGATGTGCTATGCGACTGAAACGTGGCCTGACAACAAAACAATCTTCAAAACCATAAGAACTTCTCATCACGCGCTGGAATAAAGTTTTCTGAAAAACAGTTGATGCCAACAGTGGCAGTAAGGTTTGCGATGTTCTGACCCGAAGACCCTCTTTTTTCCATCAAAAACCGTTTTCAAAGAAATCAAAGCTTTTTGAGTGTTTCGAGAAAAATTGCATTTTTTCTTTCCCGATTTCCCTTTCCTTCTTATTCCGCTTTTTTTTGGTTTGGCAGGTTGGGGCTTGCGCCCCATGTCAGTCTGAGGCTTGTCGCGAGAGCC